GACTCGCATGGAAAAGGGGTCAAAGGAACTTTTGTGGCCAACATGGTGCATCAGAAGAACTCCAATTCCCACAAGCCCAAGGGAAATAACGGTGTCCAACAGAGTGCCGACTTTAAGAAGAAGGGTAAGAAGACCTTCAAGAAGAACAAGAAGGATGAGGGCTGCTTTACTTGTGGTTCGCTTGAACATTGGGCCAACAAGTGCCCAAACAAGTATAAGAAGCAAGGGCAGGACTCCAAGTCTGTCAATATGATTGTGAGCAACAATGAGAGTGGTGCATTTGGGTACGGTAATTTATTTGCTGTATTTTCAATTTGGCCGTCCACCGATTGGTGGGTCGACACAGGTGCAGGTGTTCATGTGTGTGCTGACATTTCATTGTTTTCTTCTTACCAGGCCACAGGTCACGGGTCCGTACTGATGGGGAATGGCGTGAGTGCTTCTGTTCTTGGTGTTGGCACGGTCGATCTGAAGTTTACTTCGGGAAGGATCGTGCAGCTGAAGAACGTGCAACATGTCCCCACCATCAAGAAGAACCTTGTTAGTGGCTCCCTTCTATGTAGAGCAGGGTTTAAGTTGGTATTCGTGTCTAATAAATTAGTTGTTACGAAATATGGACTATTTGTTGGAAAGGGTTATGAATGCGGAGGCATGTTCCGCCTTTCTCTTGCAGATCTATGTAATAAAGTCGTGAACAATATTCATTTGAGTGTTAATGAATCTGAAGTATGGCATTCACGTCTTTGTCACATTAGTTTCGGTGTTATGACGTGGCTAGCAAAATCGAATTTAATCCCGAGTTTCACTTTAGCCAAAGGTTCTAAGTGCCATTCGTGTGTGCAATCTAAGCAACCTCGCAAGCCTCACAAGGCAGCAGAGGAGAGACACTTGGCACCACTGGAACTCATACATTCTGATCTTTGTGAGATGAATGGTGTGTTGACTAAAGGTGGAAAGAAATATTTCATGACTTTGATAGATGATTCCACTAGATATTGCTATGTGTATCTGTTAAATACTAAAGATGAGGCTCTACACTACTTCAAAATCTATAAGGCAGAACTTGAGAATCAACTTGAAAAGAAAATTAAACGAGTCCGGTCAGATCGTGGTGGAGAGTACTTCTCGAAAGAGTTTGATGCTTTTGTACAGAACACGACATTATTCACGAGAGGACGCCTCCCTACTCACCCCAGTCAAACGGGGTTGCCGAGCGGAAAAACCGTACTCTAACTGATTTGGTTAACGCCATGTTAGATACGTCGGGTTTATCCAAGGCATGGTGGGGGGAGGCTATAATGACATCCTGTCATGTCCTGAATAAAGTTCCGACAAAGGATAACGAGATCACTCCTTACGAGAAGTGGACAAAGAGAAGGACAACACTCTCGTACTTACGTACCTGGGGCTGCTTGGCAAAAGTTAATGTGCCGATCCCCAAAAAGCGTAAGCTTGGAACAAAGACTGTGGACTGTGTTAATTTGGGCTACGCTATGAATAGTGTTGGCTATAGATTTCTAGTAGTGAAATCTGAGGTACCTGACATGAAAGTCGGTACAATTATGGAGTCTAAAGATGCTACATTCTTTGAGGACATTTTTCCCATGAGAGATGTACAAAGCACTTCTAGACAGGAATCTGAGGAGACTCCTGAACCTGCCATTCCGATGGAATATTATAATCAAACACATGATGAAAATCCTGAGGAGGATAATGAGGAATCCCTTGGTAGGGGCAAGAGACAAAGGACTGTAAAGACCTTTGGTGATGATTTCTTCATATACCTCGTGGAGGATAATCCCACTTCTATTTCATAAGCGTATGCATCTCCAGAAGCTGACTACTCGAAGGATGCGGTCCGTAGCGAGATGGATTCCATCATGGCTAACGGGACTTGGGAGCTTACTGAACGTCCTTATGGTTGCAAACCATTGGGATGCAAGTGGGTGTTCAAGAAGAAGCTTAGGCCCGATGGTACGATAGAAAAGTACAAGGCTAGGCTTGTGGCCAAGGGCTACACCCAAAAAGAAGAAGAAGATTTCTTCGACACTTATTCACATGTGGCCAGACTGACCACCACTCGAGTATTACTCTCGTTGGCGGCCTCGCATGGTCTTCTCATTCATCAGATGGATGTTAAGACGGCTTTCCTAAACGGAGAGCTAAAGGAGGAAATCTATATGCAACAGCCTGATGGCTTTGTGATGGATGGTCAGGAAGGAAAGGTGTGTAAGTTGGTGAAATCTTTGTATGGCCTAAGACAAGCACCTAAGCAATGGCATGACAAGTTAATGAAACGTTGACATCTGTTGGCTTTGTTGTTAATGAGGCCGACAAATGTGTATACTATCGCTATGGTGGGGGCGAAGGAGTTATACTGTGTTTGTATGTTGATGACATACTGATATTTGGGACTAATCTCAAGTTGATCGAGGAAGTTAAGTCTTTCCTATCTCAGAACTTTGAGATGAAGGACCTTGGAGTGGCTGATGTTATCTTGAACATCAAGCTATTGAGAGATGATGAAGGTGGGATTACACTTCTGCAATCCCATTATGTTGAGAAGGTGTTGAGTCGTTTTGGATATTCGGACTGCAAACCATCTCAAACACCATATGATCCTAGTGTGCTGATTCGAAAGTCTAAAGGCACAGCTATAGATCAATTGAGATACTCTCAGATTGTTGGTTCACTACAGTATCTAGCGAGCGTAACGAGGCCTGACATCGCATTTGCTATTAGCAAACTGAGCCGATTTGTTTCCAAACCGGGTTATGTACATTAGGGTGCTCTTGAGAGAGTTATGCGCTATCTGAAAGGTACTATGAACTATGGACTTCACTATACCGGATACACGTCGGTACTTGAAGGGTATAGTGATGCGAATTGGATCTCTGATGCTGATGAGATGAAGGCCACAACTGGGTATATATTTACTCTTGGAGGTGGTGCTGTTTCCTGGAAGTCTTGCAAGCAAACGATCTTAACAAGATCGACAATGGAAGCAGAATTAACAACATTAGACACATCGGGTGGCGAAGAAGAATGGCTTCGAGATCTGTTGATGGACTTGCCAGTGGTTGAGAAGCCGGTTCCGGCCATCCTTATGAACTGTGACAATCAAACAGTTATTGTCAAGGTGAAGAGTTCAAAGGACAACATGAAGTCCAACAAACACATAAGAATGAGATTGAAAGCTGTTAGAAAATTGAGAAACTCTGGAGTGATAGCGTTGGATTATATTCAAACGGCTAAGAATCTGGCAGATCCCTTTACTAAAGGCCTATCACGTGTTGTGATAGATAATGCATCAAGGGAGATGGGAATGAGACCCACATGAGTTGCCTTGGTAGTAACCCAACCTATGTGATCGGAGATCCCGTGAAGTAGGACCTGGGAAAACAAGCCAGTGGTAAACTGAGGAGAGTAACTTTACTAACCCACTCCGTTGGAGATGCAATACTCTCAGAAACTGTATGGAAGGATGACTACTGTCTTAATGTGTTCCAAGGCTTATATGCATAAGCAAGATGCTATCCTACAGAGCGGTCTTTGGAGGAACACACCTATATGAGCCCGACTGCTGGTCACAGTCTATGAGATTGGGGTGATCTCTAGCAAGCTTATGAACAGGCTAGGAATGTGACTAATATGATCCACCCGAGGGGTCGACCTTCGGCAGCCTCGTATCAATGAGACTTGTGGTTGAAACTTCTTAACGCCAAACTGACAATTCAAGGCATAGTCCATTGTTCAGTTGTGAAGGAGTGTAACTACTTGGTCTAGGTGGAGCTCAACCTTAATCGGTCTCCACTGAGATGCTCGTATATCAAAACAACGTTTGGAACAAAGGACAAACTGGGCCCCTGAGATCTGGTGGGGGATTGTTGAAATATGAGATGGGCCTAGAGCCCATATGACAATTTCAGATTTGATCTCTAAGGGCCCATGTAGGTGGCATGACAAGGTGGTGGGAAGTTTAGTCCCACCCCGAAAGTGGAAGGAGAGTTGGAGTGGTTTATAAGGGGTTCTATTCCTCATGCCATTGGAGCTTGAGAAGAGATGAGGCCCTCGCGCACTCCTCCTCCTCCGCTCGCCTCGCCACGCCACGCCTCGTCACGACGCGCCGCGCCGCGCCGCGCCGCGGGTTGCGGGATTGAGCCGAGCCAAGCTCACTCCTATGCGCTTCTTTTTGCCGGTCAGGAACGGAGAGTCTTTGACAGGTCGGGCCACGATCTGAGACGTCGAATCGTGGGCTACCGACTTGGACGTGGGTTCAGCCCATGTCTCTCCACGAACAGCCGCACATATATATGTGGGGCGCTGCCAACCCTAACCGCCATGAAACCGAACGCATCTCCGCCTCCACGCCCTCGTCGTTCCTCTGCTGCTGCTGCCGCCGGCGACTCCGTCCCGTTCACCGCGTACACGGTTGACGGGAGAGCAGGCCTCCGAAACCCCGCTTCTCCGGATCCTGTACGGGAGAGGGGCGATTAGATTTTTGGGTAGCAACTACGCGACTGCTCGCTTCTGTTCATTTACGTCCACATCACCTTCGTCATCACCATGTCGACCGACGCCGACCATGCCGCCGCTGAGAAGGCCGCCGAGGATGCCGCGGCTACTGCCGCCGCCACCGCCGCCGCATGGCCAATTGGAGGGTATACATCGTTTATCCCTCTCATGTTTCTTTCTGTTGTAGCTGTACTAGCGATATGCGTAGATGTTTCTACTATATGCGTAGTACATGCTCTGTTAGATCGTAACAAGTGTGTTATCAATACTGTCAATGTCATGCTTATGATTCATTCATGGATTAACTTAATCGAAAAACTGCCTATTTTCTTATCACCATCAACCTCCCCGCCAATCTTGTTCATTGTCGCCGGACGAGCGCATCAAACTCGATATTCACTTCGCTCGTGAACAGGTCGCGCTTGGCTGGATACGAGTTTTGCATGTTGCTACCGCTCAATAGTCCACCTTCGATGAGTTTCGGTTCAGTCTCTGTGTGGCCCGGTGACGTTTTCACTGCCGGGGAAGGGAGATTCATGTATTTTTCTTCTTCGTATAGTGCATAGTTTGGGAGACAAGTCGTGCACCCTTGTACCTATATATGTGCAGATTGCACGTGATCAATCAAGTGTGTCGCACGCAACCTCAACTTTTCGAACAACAATAAAGTTTATTTCACAACATTTCTCCCCCCGAAATCAGCATTCGTAAAGAAAACCAAGGAGGCATCGCCATCGTCAACCATTGACACATAAAAGATGGTCCAAATATCAGCGATTGTTCATGATGGATCATCCTCTACCTTCCTGCTTGGAGTCAGAGTCCCCCGAGCAATCAACATGAGCACCAGGGGCGTCGAACTCGCGGAAGACCCGGAAGGCGGAGACGAGGGAGAGCGCGACGAAGCAGAGCAGCGCGGCGGCCTGCAGCGCCACGGACACGGTGGCCCTGCCGCAGAACCGACCGAAGTAGGAGCACACCTCGCCCCACGACACCTCCCGGTCGCCCTCCATCGCCAGGTACACCAGCTCCGCCGCCGCCGAGCACGATGTCACCAGCAGGTACGCCGCCGCCTGCGCGCGCGAGGCCAAGCTTTCGTTAGCAACTTAGCACTGTAGTTCTAGTACTAGTTTTTTAGGCGCAGAGTGAAGATGAATCTAAAAAGGGCAAAAGAGAAAGGAGATGGTGATGATCGGACCTGATCCAGGAGGAAAATGAGCCAATCATAGCGAGCGAGGGACTTGAAGGATGACATCAGGATGGAGACCACGGAATAGGCGGCAGTGACAGCGTTAATGAAAACTAAATACCTGGGAGAAAGCAAAAATTAGCCTAAGTAATCAATAGCCTAATCCATTAGCGGTAACTGGTCGTGGTGCGACTTGACACGCGTGTTTATTTAGAGCACATTCGAAGTTATATACAGCTTAGGAAATTAAACAAGGAAATTGCGCATAACAGGAGCAGGATTCACAAGTAAAGGGGGGCAAGGTTATGCAGGCTGACTTGAAGCCGGAGAGGTTGGAGAAGCTGATCTCTCCGTAGGTGTCATTAGCTTGCTTGTTGGTGGCCATCTCCCACAGGGAGGCCAAGGCGAGGGGGATCACGCACACCCTCAGCGCCATCTCAGGGACCTTCAAGGGTCTCCTCCTTGTCGTCGTCGTCATCTTCCTTGCCGCTGCCTCTGCTGATCGTGTGCGGTGAACAGAGAGGTCCGGGGTGGAGGACTCTGAGACCAACACTAGTATCCAAATGGGAGAGCACATGGGCCAGCGCTATACATAGCCCAGTCATGTGAGTGCTGGAGCAGTGTGGAGCTGGCCCACAGAATGTGGCGTCGTGGAGCTGCAGGAACTGGTGGTGGGTTTGGGTTGGGGCAACACGGCCTCGGCCGTCCATCCACCATTACGTGGCCCCGCCGATGGGTGTCGAGCCGTTTGAGAGCGGTTGGTAGCCGTCTCTCACCATTTTCTCCGGTAACCATGGTGCGACGCCATAGCTGTCGTGGGGACGGATCACACAAGCCGACGTTGGTAGTCTGGCCTCCTCCACTACGGATTACACGCGGCGTCGGGCACCGAGCGCACGCGTGCTCGTCCCGCGGGGTCGTGGTGACCCCGGCGGCCGCACCCGCGCAAAAGGAACGCCACCCGCGGTGTGTGAAACGGGATCGAGAGGAAAGCTAAGAAACGCTGAAATCTTTTTTTTTGTGTGGCTCGCGCTAGACACCGACGAAGGCCATCGATTTTAAATGCAACACTGATCTCATAATCAGTGTGCATCGCGTACAACGAACTAATAATCAAAAGTTTACATCCATTACGCATCATTTTACGTAAATAAGACTAACAAAGTCAAGTCTTGCCTAAATAAATAAAGCCTCGGATGTAAGACCAACCAGCTACGATGTTAGGCACTCACTCAAACGATCTATTCCACTCGAACTACTAGCGATTACAGAGGGATTACATGCAAATCAACGACCTTCTTGAGAAGGCAGAAAGGGAAAGGTAAACTGGTAGCTGCCGCCGTCGTTCGTTTGGTGATCCACTCGATGCCCTAGCCAGCTCGCGTCACTAGGTTAAGAGCAAGTATAATAAGCCTAGTCAGCTGGCTATAAGGTTTTACATGTCAGCAAAAATCCTTGCTGGAGGAGTGAGAAACGAAGAGAGAGAGAGAGAAGAGCCGGCGCTCCGTGTATCGCCCGGCTGCAGCTCAATCTTCGATGCAATACAGCAAGCATGTAGCCGGCGTGAGTGATAAACGCAAGAGCTCCGTCTTTCCTGCCAATCATGTGAGCCTGTTTGACCTTCTTTAGATGCAAACATTGAATAGTATAGTCCATCTAATAGCCAGCCTACAGCCAGCCTATTATACTAGTAGTCTTTTATCAAACCTTTGGATGATGTGGCACCCATATACAGCCAGCAGCAGGCTCTTCTATTAGCCATGCTCTAAGTACTCGCGCGGCTGGGTTGGGCTGGTTGACCCACTCTGGACCACATAAGTACGGGTTGTTGTGTCGGGCGCAGCTGTGGGCTTATTGGCAGGTGTGTTAACGTATAACTTTGTATAGCTAATCTCGCGTATTCCGTTTGTATACGGTTATACATATACGCGTATAGGGTTTATTTCTTGGTCTCCAAAACTTGTAACTCTGCTATAAATATATAAGCCGATTGCCCCTTGAGAGGCGTCTTCCCTCAAACCGTTTCACGTTTATATGGTATCAACCCTATATCCTAAAACCTAGCTTCCGCCGCCACCAAAACCCTAAGCCGCCGCCACCATCCTCCCTCCGCGCCGCCGCAGCTCCTTCCTCCTCTCCAGGATGTCGACCTCCTCCTCCACCTCCTCTACACTCGGGGCCTCCACCTCATCGACGCTCGCGACGCAGACCGCCGGGGCCATGATCTCGTCCATCGCGTCGCCGGCGTCCCAGGCCGTCCACGTCGCCAGCGTCAAGACGCATGTCCCCGTCGTCCTCGACCTCCAGAAGTCCAACTACGCCAAGTGGCGTATGCTCATCACCGTCCTCCTCGGCAAATACGACCTCACCGGCCACATCTCCGACCTCACGCCGCTGGATGCCCGCTCGGCGGATTGGCAGCGTCAGGACTTCGTCGTGCGCTCGTGGGTCTACGGCTCCATCAGCGAGGACATCCTCGACACAATCATGGCCCAAGATCAGACCGCGTACGAGGCCTACGCGCTGATCCGGAACCTCTTCCTCGACAATCAGCTCACCCGGGCCGTCTACCTCGAGGCGGAATTCCGGGCCCTCGTCCAAGGCGACCTCACCATCACCGCCTACTGCCATCGCCTGAAGGCCCTCTCCGACGCGCTCGCGGACGTGGGGCAGCCCGTGACTGACCCAACCCTAGTCCTCACCTGTCTCCGGGGGCTCAACCCCCGCTTCTCCGACATCACCACCCTTGTCACAATGCAGGTTCCGGCCCCCACCTTCCTGCAGACTCGCTCCATTCTTCTCCTCCGCGAGAATCAGCTCGCCAACACCGCCCCGGCGGCCCCATGCCGTCCCAAGTCGCCCTCTACGGCAACACCACCGGCTCCTCCACCGGTGGCAATTCTGGCGGCAATGGCGGCCAAGGCGGCCGCTGGTCGAAGAAGAAGAAGAACGGCGGCGGGAGCGGCGCCAACTCCAACCATGCCTACCCTGCCGCTACGCCCGGACCGTGGATCTGCTTCAACCCCTACACCGGGCAGACACAGCAGATGCAGCCCACCTGGCGCCCCTACGGCGCTCCGGCTGCTCCCGCCGGGGGCGCCGGCCTCCTCGGGCCAGCCCCGCGGTCCACCGCCCCGGCACCGCCATCCCGTCAGTCCACCTGGGTGCCCCCAGGCCAGGTCGCTTACACGACCCAGCTGGCGCCCCTGCATGGCCAGGCGTGGGGCACCAACCCGCCTTCGCCCGCGGTGCCCTACCACCCTGCCGGCTCCGCCCCGGCTCCTGCATGGGACTGCTCCGCCCTCGTCGCCGCCCTCAACGCCACCGCTGGGCCCTCTGCCGCCGAATCCTCCACGCCGGGTGCTTGGGTGATGGATTCCGGCGCCACCTCGCACATGGTCTCCGACCCCGGTATACTCTCCACTTCCTCCCATCCTCCTCCCTCTCTTCGAGTCACTGTCGACAATGGTGCTCCCCTTCCTATCACCGCCACCGGCCACGTCACTCTCCACACACCTAGTCACACCTTTTATCTCAACAATGTTCTCGTTGTTCCAGACATTATCAAAAATCTCCTTTCTACTCGTCAATTTACAATCGATAATTCTGTTTCTGTGGAGTATGACCCATGTGGTTTTTCTATTAAGGGTCTGCACACTCGGCGCGAGATCATTCGCTGCAGTAGCGCCGGACCGCTCTATGAGTTCAACGCCAACACCAACCCCACCACCTCTCCGTTTGGACTCGTCGCCACCACCACCACATCGGAGCTATGGCATTGTCCCTTAGGACATCCCGATCGTGACTCTATGTCACATTTATCTTCAACATTTGCTATTCCATGTAATAAAAGTACTCAAGTGTGTCATGCATGTCAACTTGGCAAGCACGTCCGTTTACCCTTTTCTAGATCAACAACAGTTTGTGTTGCTCCGTTCCAATTACTTCATTGCGATTTATGGACCTCACCTGTTGCTAGTAATTCTGGTTTCAAATATTACCTTGTCATTGTTGATGACTTCTCTCACTTTATGTGGATGTTTCCCCTTCACCGGAAATCCGACACATGTGATATTCTCATCAACTTTGTTGCACACGCACGCACACAATTCAACCTCCCCGTCATCTCCTTCCAGACCGATAATGGTACCGAGTTCGTTAACTCTACCTTCACCGAGTTCCTTGCCCGCAACGGTATACACCTCCGCATGTCCTGCCCATACATCTCCCCTCAAAACGGCAAGGCCGAACGAGCACTTCGCACCCTCAACGACATTACCCGCACCTTGCTGTTCCAAGCTTATATGCCCCTTGCGTACTCGGCTGAGGCCCTTGCCGTCGCAACCTTCTTGCTTAACCATTGTCCTAGCCAAGCCTTGGACTTCCGGATCCCGTATACCCTCCTTTATCAAAAACACCTCCCTCTCTGACCTCCGTGTCTTCGGGTGCCTATGCTACCCTAACCAGTCCGCCACGACACCGCATAAACTCGCCCCTCGCTCCACCGCATGCGTCTTTCTTGGGTACCCTGCATTGCATCGCGGCTATCGGTGTCTCGACCTAACGACACGCCTCATCATCATCTCGCGACATGTCATTTTTGACGAAAACACCTTTCCTTTCGCCACCACTCGAACCACTCAGTCTCCGGACGATCTCGATTTTCTTCTCGACTTGGTCGCCACGCAGCCTGCTACCGCGGTCGTCGTGCCTCCCGCAGACCAGCCCAACATGGCGCCGACCTCCTCGGCCCAGCCCGCCATGCATGGCTCGGGGCCTTCCACCCCGACGTTGATCGCCACAGCGCCCGCCTCACCCGCGCCGCTCTCGTCTGCGTCCCCCTCACCACCACCACCACCACCACCCCCTTCTCGTCGCTCTCGCGACAGTACCGCCTCCACCACCAACACTCACACCATGCTCACTCGCGCCAAATGTGGTGTTTTCAGCCCATTAATAAACTTAATCTATCAGCTGAACACTCCTCTCTCTCTCCTATTCCCAAAACATATCGCTCTACTCTCCAGGATCCTCTTTGGCGTGCTGCCATGACTGAGGAGTACGATGCTATCCTTCAGAACCGCACTTGGACTCTTGTTCCTCGACCGGTTGGTGCTAACATTGTTTCAGGAAAGTGGATCTTCAAGCACAAGTTTGGTGCTGACGGTGCTCTCACTCGGTACAAGGCACGGTGGGTGGTCCGTGGATTCTCGCAGTAGCCTGGCATTGACTACGACGAGACTTTCAGTCCCGTCGTCAAGCCGGCCATGATCCGCGTTGTGCTTAGCATCGCCGTCTCATATGCTTGGCCGGTTCATCAGCTGGACGTCAAGAATGCCTTCCTCCATGGAGATCTCGACGAGGTGGTCCACTGTGAGCAGCCACCCGGCTTCATCGACCCTACACGTCCTCACCATGTCTGCCTGCTCCACAAGTCCCTCTATGGACTCAAGCAGGTGCCCCGCGCATGGTACCAGCGGTTCGCTCATCACGCTCATCGACTGGGCTTTGTGGCTTCTCAGATCGACGTGTCCCTGTTCGTGCTCTGGCACGGCTCTGAGATGGCCTACCTGCTCC